TATATATGCCTAAAAGAAAAGAATATGGATCAAGATTCATCAATAAAAGAATTGAAGAAAAAGGATTAGTTAGTCTTCTTTAACTAACAAGGTGAGTTATTGCTCTCTCTCTCTCTCTCTCTCTCTCTCCCTTGATTATGCTATGTAACGCCCATAATCTAGAAGGTAATTATGCAAATAAACCATCCTTGCTAAAGGCCAACTCGTCGAGTTTAGGGAAGGAAACTCGATGTGTTGGAAGTATTGGTCACACACGTTTTTGAGAATCAACTCGATGAGTTGGAGAGGACCAACTCGACGAGTTGGACGTGGTTTGGAAAACCCTAATTTCGGGGTTTTGTACCTTATTTAAACAACTTAAACCCTATATGTTGGCCGCATTTCCAGCCACATTGTCCTAAACCCTAACCTCGAAACCCTAAGGCATTTTTTAGTGTTGTGATCCATTTTGAGTGCTTTGGTGGTGTGTTTGAAGCTATTGGAAGGAATTAAAGCTTGGTGAGAGTTGGCGATTCAAGAAGGAGCTGCTAGATCTCGAATCCTTGCTTCATTTTGACACTTTTCTGGTAAAAAGTCTCAACCTTGCTTTGTAAATTCATAGATCTCCTTCGTAGGGTCCTTTTGGATGTTTTGGTCCAAATGGAGTGGTTGATGGGGTGTTGGTCGTCCTAATGGAGTTATTCTTTTAGATCCTTGGTTCTTGGGAGCTCTTGTGGCATAAAAGGTGCCAACTTTATGGTCTTAAGGGCTCCATTCATCCATTAATCCTTTTTTTGGCCTCTTTTAAGGTTTTGAGCTTCTTCTAGCCTTGCACGAGAGTAAAGTTGGAAACTTTACATGACTTTTCAGCCTTTAAGGTCCAGATCTGCATCCATGAGCTTTGTTTTGATGATTTGGTGATTCTTGAGTAAGCCCTTAACCTCGTAAGAATAGGGTTTGGGTATTCGACCCATTAGAATGGTTCTTAACGGTAAAGTTGGAAACTTTACCCTCTAATCGATATTTCAGATTAAGATCTTAGTGGTGGAGCTTTTAGTTTTGAGATTGGTGACTTAATGGGTTAAGAGGTTTTGCTGAATAAGGAACTCGGTGAGTTGGAATCATTTTCCCCGATTCTGCTGTCTAAAGAGGAAACTCGGCGAGTTTGGGGTGAACTTAAAGAGTTGGACCGACTTTTTGCGATTTTGGTGATTTATGGGGGAACTCGACGAGTTGAGGAACAACTCGGTGAGTTGAGTCAACTCAGAGCGTTGACTTTAACTTTTGACTTATGCTTTTGACCAAGTTTGTCCCAAGGGGTGTTTGAGGTAACCTGAATTGTATTCGAGGAAATATGGGCTTAGGATAAGACTCATATGGGATCGCATCCAATTTGGAAAATTGGGCTATTAATGGGCTTTCATGGATTTTGCGGTTTCGAACCTTGTTGGGCCAGGGGTAAAATGGTTATTTTTCCCTAAGTATAGATTATGGATCATGGATTAGGACCCAATTGCGAATTGGGTGATATTTTGGTATTGTTAGCACGAGGAGCTGTTAGGGTAGCAGCTAAGGATTTCTTGCAATGAGCTTCAACATTCGAGGTGAGTCTCCTTACTATTTGTATGGGTCGAAGGCACTAATGTCGGCCCATTTGGTTTACGTATAGTAGGAAGACTCAGGGGGTTAGCCTTTGGCATTATGTGTGAAAGATCAGGAGGCGGCTCCTGGCACACTGTATGCAAGACTAGAGTCTGAACTCTAGCAAGTAATTGGTTAAGTAGTATAGTTTGTATGCTAGTTGTCTTTGTGATGCTTGCATGGAAGTCCAAGAGGTGGCTCTTGGCACTTGTCTGTAAGACCTAGGGTTGTGGCCCCAACTTGACAAGAAAGACCACGAGGTGGCTTGTAGCATAATGAAAAGACTATGCGCGACACATAACACCTTTATTAATTATGATATATAAATAATATGTATGTCTCGCGGTTATGTATGGAATGTATGGATCGTTCAATATGTATGGTATGTGGTATTTGGGGAACTCACTAAGCTTTGTGATTACAGTTTTCAATTTTGTTTAAGGTACTCTAGTTTTCAAATGAAAGAGCTCGGGACGATTGCAACGTATACACCCGTGTTTCCGCAATATGTGATCTTCAGGATTAGACTCTGATATTTGTTTTATTTGAAATTCTTTTCAATGTGTTGAACAAAGTTATCAAAGTGTTTTAATTATATTGAAAAATGAAATTTTTTACCTTGAATTTTTGGGTTGTTACATGCTATATAAATATATATATATATATATATATATATATATATATATATATATATATATATATATATATATATATGTGTGTGTGTGTGTGTGTGTGTGTGTTTGTATGTAAGTATCATGTATCTGAGCATGTATGTATAAGCAAAGTATGTAGAGACGTATAAGGAAAGAACAAGGGTATTATGAGTACATGATAAGAAAGGTACATGTTAATACCTAAGAGATTGTAGATAAACACATATCAATATGATTATATGTTGTATAAACATAAGTGTATATATGTATAGATATTAATGGTATTGTGTAGAATACTTATATGTTAATAGACATTGATAAAGATCAAGTATTTAATAAGTTAAGTACTAGATGAGTAGTAGAATATATCTTGATGAGATAAATAGATAGATTGTCCACGAGAATAGAGAGATGAAAAGTAAGCAGAGTATGAGAAGGCATGATAAGAGTCACATAAATGAGAATAATATGGTAAGAGATAGAGAAGAGCATGCAAAAAGTATAGACAATAGCAGAGAAAGAATATAAAAGATAGAGTATGTGAAAGAAAGAAAGAAAAGATAGAATATGTGTAAAGTATGAGATGAGCCTAAGAAAGGGTTAAAAGAAGGTAATATATGAGCCTGAGAAGAGGCTAAGAGAGAGAAAAGATGAGAAGAAAGTATTGGAGAAGATAGAGTATGAGATGAAGGAATGAGATGTTAAGGCATGTCAAGATATGGAAAATAAAGAGTTAGATGATATGAAAAAGATAACATAGTAGATAAGATGAGAAATGAGAAGAAGTAAAGAGAAAAGACTAGAAGAGATAGATGTGATGAGATAAGAAATAATAGCAGTGTATGCTATTAAAGAAAGAGATTGAATTGCAGAGTAAGATAAAGAAGAGAAAATATAGAAAGAGTAGATGAAACATGAAAACATATTAGAATAAAAATCACCAAACTTATGGTATGACGTAATAGATATTTTCACGTTTAGCAAGTTTATGTAGCAGCCGTGGTATGTGAGAAAACCGGAGCACAAGGGCATAAAATAGATTTTATTTCCTTGTTGTTCAAGTGATAGATAGATTTTATTGTAAATCTGTGATTAACGATCAAATATAAAATATTTTAATTTTTATAGAACTCTGTAAATTATTTAAAAAGAGAAATTAAATATCCTCCTACTTTTGTTCCTAAAAATCCTCCTACCAAATTAAATGATGATATGTATCATATTAGTATATTAAAATATCATTAAATGAGCATTAAATGTTACACATGTCACTATTTCATTGGATAGAAGGATATGTAGGAACCAAAAATAAAAGGATATTTAATTTCTCATTTAAAAAACTCTGATAATCCTTAGTTAATTAAATATGGAAAATTTTAATCGTTACAAGTCACCTAACGTAATCAAACACATTTATATGTTTATTATAAAAAATATCCACTTAAATTTAAAATATTTTTAAACTTGTGATATAAATCATTCGATCCGCACTTATTTTTCGAATTCCACTATTGAATATTATGGCTAATGGAAAAAAAAAACATGATGATAACATGGTTTACTTTTTTATTTTTATGATAAATAAGTTAATTTATTAATTTTAAACAACATGGGTTTTTCATATTTATCAATGAATATTACTATTTTTTTTAATTATAATTATAATTTTATTTAACTAATTTATCAAATCAAAATGATATAGATTACATCAATTAACAAATAATGTAGTTTCAACTAAATAATAAATGACTTAGTTTTTTCTAAGGTTAATGACTTCAAAGTTCATAGTGTAACATATTTTTTTTGTTTTCATATTTAGCCGATAATGTTTTTTATACATATTTAATCATTAAATTTGTTTTAACTGTTCAAACATTGTTAATATTACTAGTTGCTATTGGTAATACTACCTATTTTTTAACACATGAAACAAGTTGAATAGTTAATTATGTATAGAAACATTATTTTTTAAATTTGAATACCAATTAAATATGTTACCAATCATGAACTCTTTATTTTTTTTAACAAATATGATGTTATACAATTACCATTGATTAGTTTATTTATTCCTCTGTTCCAAAAAAGAAGTTCGTTTATTTGTAATTTGGTATGATACTTCCTTTGCATTTGTTAACATATTGTTATTATTAAAAGATAGATACATATAATTGAGTCAAATGTATAGAAAGTATGAAGAAAAAAAAAAAAGGGCTCTATTTCTAGGTCTAAGCCGGGCCGAACTAAACCCATCGCTTCAATGACCATGTTTCCTCCATGGGCCAGTCCAGGTTTCTAACATGGCTTCTGGATACGGGCCGGAACAGATCTTTGTGCAGCTCTAAGCCGACACCTACTGCTATGACTAATACTTTAAAAAAATAAATAAATAAATAAAATAAAATAAAAAATAAAGTAGGTTAAATTATGATATTTAATACAAGTAAAAGAAAAACAAAAAGTAGTACAGCAGTGAAGCCAACATGGACAGCGGGATTTAAAACCCATATGTTCTGTTTTAGCAAGATCCTACAATCTGTTGATTCTTCTTCTTATACAAAAACAAAAACAAAACAAAACAAAAACAATTTCCTCACCAAGTAGCTGATACAGACAGCTCGGCCTACTTCAAAGTTCAAACAACCCTACATCGAAAACAAACCACCAGCCACCTCACTTGACAACCATTAAACCCCCATTCAAAACCTTCAATCTTTTCTCACAGCTTCTATGCAATCCTCGAAAATTATGCCACCCTTTTCACAGTCAAAGCCTCTCTCAAATGGGGTTTCCAAGAATCCTCACGATTTCACCAGAACAAACGTAGTCACCATTGATGTAGGTGGTCAACTCTTTCAAACAACGGTACAAACCCTAACCCTAGCTGGGTCCAATACCCTTTTCTCCAATCTCTTCAATTCTTCTGAACAGAACAGTTCAATCCCTTTTATTGATAGAGACCCTGAATTGTTTTCGATTCTTTTATCTCTATTAAGAACCGGGAATCTTCCATCAAAAGCCAAAACCTTTGAGATTCAAGATATTGTTTTTGAAGCCAAGTTTTATGGGGTTGAACATCTTCTTGTTCAATCGCAATCTAACCCTTCGCAATTTGAACCTTTTGATCTTGAAAAATCAATGATATTGCCTCTCAGTGGCAGAGATTCACCTTCTGCAATCGCTACAACACCATACGGGTCAGTCCATGTCTCTCATGGCAGCAAAATCACGTCTTTTGATTGGTCTTTACAAAGAAAGTCTACGACTTTGACCCAATTCACGGCTATTGATTCTTTATTAGCTTTATCATCAAATGTTGTAGCAGCTGGTGCTACTGATTTCTCCGGCTTGCAAATCATTGATCTTGAAATGGGTCATGTTAGACAAACCATAAATTGGGAAAATGTGACCAAATCCGGTTCGACTGTTCAAGCAATTGGAACTTCCCCTGAGCTTTTATTCACTAGTTTTGAATCAAGTCGCAGGAATTCAAACTCTATATTGGTATACGACCTGAATGACAGCTTCAAAGTTGTATCAGAAATTGGGCATAATGAAATCTTTGGTGCTGATCTTGATTCCGCAATTCCATCAACAAAATTGAATTGGATTCCAAGTCTTAAACTGCTAATGGCTTCTGGGTCTCACAGTGGACCATCTGGCGTTTCAGGTAACATCAAGTTTTGGGATATAAGATCCGGGAATCTTGTTTCAGAAATAAAAGAGAAAGTCGATTGCTTTTCGGATATCACAGTTTCTGATGCCCTTTCAGCTGTTTTCAAGATCGGAACAAATTCTGGAGAGGTTTCTTACATTGATTTTAGGAGCATTTTGTCTGCTAATTCTTGGAATTGTCTTGGTGATTCAAGAAAAGTGATGAATGTGAAGAAAGAAGGGTATGGTTGTAAGATTGAAAGTCATGGGAATCAAGTTTTTTGCAGTAAAGAAGGTGAATTGGAGCTGTGGTCTGAGGTTTTGATGGGTTCTTTGGGAACCGGTAAAAATGGGAAAGAAGAGAGGGTCTTTAAGAAGAACATGTTGGGTAGGTCGAAGGATTTAGGACAAAATAGGATCACAAATCTAGGGTTTGGTGGAAACAAAATGTTCGTTACTAGGAAAGATCAGCAATTTGTCGAGGTCTGGCAAAGCTCTGTAAGAAGATCTTGATCATTTGAAGTTTCATATGATTTTGATCTTTTATGCGATCAAAAGAAACAAAGATAGTGATTATTGGTTTGTGTACATTATCGTTTTCGTAAGTCAAACTTTTTTTTTTTTTTTTTTTTTTTTTTGTTTGTGCTCAAATGTGTAGATTGATATGCATGATATCAAATTTTTTATTAGGAGTTCTAGAGTCGTTTTGAATCAATTTGATTTATATGTAATCCTGAATTTGTTAGGATGGATATTATGTTTACAGTTTATTTTTTGTAAGTTTGTACAATATTTGTTGTTGTTAGAATTGTTATTATGATTAATGAATACAATACAATATATCCGTGGTTGCAAAATCTTCCTATTCTAGACATATTTGCTTTGAAAAACTATAGAATGTGGGTAGAAACTAGGTTAAACCGTTAACTAAGACAGTTCACGAAGCAAATCTTTTTGATATTCAGTTACTATTGTATACATATTTAATTAGAAAAATTACAATGTGGGTAGCTAATACATGAAAACTTCAATAGCCACACTTAACGAAACATTTTTAAAATTTCAAAAATCGGTTCTTGATTTGCGAAACATAATTTTCTAAACTCTAGCTACTTCATTTTGCACGTACAACATATGAATATAAGTATATTGTATTAAAACAACCTACAATGTTATTAGAAGTTAAGTAAAAACATTAATAATGACAATCCACGATCCAGAAAGTGATTTGGGATCCATGAAGTACATATCGAATCAATTGTCATTGAAATTTCTGCATTCTCAGTTTATATAGATTAAGGTCTACTTACTTTTCCAATGCATCCATTTACTTGTAGGAATTCTGTAACATAAAGCTTGCATGGATGTTGTCAAGAGAGGTTTTGAAGTTCGCACAATAGTGCCAATAAAAGGTTAGGAAATGATTCTATATATGTAAGTACATGTTAGGGGCAGGATTCTCAGCTACCTCAGGATCCTGATTATCACCGTTATTATTTTTATTAATAATAATGGTCATTTTGTGTAGATAACTAACACATGTGCATAAGTAATCAAGAGAAGACCAATTCTCAACGAAGAGTCATCTGAACTATGCTAAAGATCTGAAATATTTGGTCAAATAACGTTCGTGAAGCTAGTCATAGAGTATCCAGGAAATATCGGACATCTTATTGGCTAGTTTAGACTATAAATTGACACTTGTATTCTGCACACAACACACTGTTTTTTTTTACTAGAAGCTTACTCTACGAGATTAATCACTTGTTCATACTCAAATATTCTCTATAAACATCTTTTTACATTAATAAAATCATCAAGGCAGGTGATCATTATCACCTCCCAAGGTTTTGTGTCGGAGATTCTAGCAAGGATCAAAGGTTTTCCTTGTAAACCATTGTGTCACTGTCTTTATCATTTGCTATTACACAATCTGAATATCACAGCCTCTCATTCAATTTGGTTGATTAGTACTTGTGTAATTTTTTACCAAAACAGTACATATCCTCTTCGCAAGTTCGGAAAGTTAAATTTGTGGATCACATGGTCATTTTGTGATATATGTTGACAACATAGTTTTGTTTGGTGATATAATCCCCACCGTATATGATCATTTTACCGAATAACTAGAAAAAAGATGTTATTTAATTAGTTGTAATAATACAATGGGATCCTTAAAGTTGCAGCCTAAGTTTACGGTTCAAACAAGACTTTTACTCGACAAAATTAGCAAAAACATGGAGAATTTATCCACCAAACCAATGAATTCTTGAACAACAATATGCCGGTTAGTACCATTAGTTTGTAATTCCTTAAACTTGAGTTTAAAATTTGTTCAAACATTGAAAACATCGTGCTCAATTCGAAGTAACTTGTGTTGTAGCAACACATGAGTTGATATGTGCGTAGGCCTTATGTTTTATGAGCCATGTCCCATGGGTTAGCCCATTTAGTTTACAATGGCCCAAACTACACTTTCATTAACAAACCTAAACATGCTAAGCATAGTAAAAGTCTTGAAATGTTGTTGGACGAAGATGTTGGATCTTTTGTGTAAAACCAAATAGTTTATTATATAGTTACGATGGCGTCACATACAAGGTTCAATAAAAAACATGTGAAATAAATAATATATTTATAGGTAATAAATTTCTTATTTACAATCAACATAATCAATAAATAAAATGATTTATTATTTATTTATTTTAAAAATTAAATTAATAGTATTTTATAAAAAAAGTTAACTAATAGTTTAATATTAAAAGTAATTAATTTGGAATTGAGTTTGATTAATCAAATTGGTTGAAGGGATAATCTAGAAAAAGGCACCCATTTGTATTAGTATATAAAGAATGTTTATTATATTTTTGGTAAGTATTATTGAAAATCCTAATTGCTTTCGTTTGTTTTCTGCTCATGGAGATTGTAGTTTTGATATTGAGTCACTACACCAAATGCTTTACAATGGATTTCAGGTAGGGCTGTAAACGAACCAAACGAACACGAACAAGGTCTTGTTCATGTTCGTTCGTTTAAGTTAGCCGAACAACAAACGAACACAAACGGATAAACGAACGAGATTTTCTTGTTCATGTTCGTTCGTTTAACAAATTACTTTGTTCATGTTCGTTCATTTATGTTCGTGAACATGCTAAACGAACATAAACGAACAAACATAAACGAACAAAGATAAAAAAAAACACAATTAAACATATATGAACATAAACGAACATATAATATAGCAATATAATAAAAAATAATTTAATATAGATGAATATAAATAAACTTAAATGAACGAACATAAACGAACGTAAATGAACATCGTAAACGAACGTTCACGAACATAAATGAACGAACGAGACTATTGTTCACGTTCGTTCATTTAACTAAACGAACGATAATTTTTGTTCATGTTCGTTCATTTATTAAATAAACGAACATAAACGAACTTCCCGCCGAACAGTTCACGAACGGTTCGCCGAACGTTCAGTTTGTTTACAGCCCTAATTTCAGGTATTTTATACATATCATTTGGTTGTGATTAGGCGAGTATTGTTGATTCGGTTGGATACTATGTTGGGACATTATATTTTAAACCATTTTTCGTTATATTTGTTTGGTTTCAAAATTGTTTTGTATCTTATATTTCTCAATAGGTATAAATTTTAAATAATATAAGATACTTCAACCTTCAATGTATTAATTAAATATTCACTTGTTTAATATTTTCTTTTATAAACCTCATGATTTTTTCCGGTTCAACCATCGGATTTTTTTCTTGGTTTTACCACCAAGAGTTTGTTTATTTTACCAAAAAAACACTACATAAAATTTTAATCTATATAAAAAATTACTAACCACCATTAAAATCTCGCTCTATCAACAATGAGAACTACATCATGATGTGCTGAAAATAATTTTCTTTTGTAGTACAATAAGTATTGTTATTAGAAGCGTAGTACGTAAAGACCACATAATTATATAACTTACATCACTTTCCAACCAACCTGCGTGATTATCCGTGCCTTCTTTCGTTGAGACTCACGGGTAGGGGAGTGTTTGAGTGACAATGTTAGGGAAGGTGCATTGTGAACTTTTGTGCTAGGAAAATCAGGGTGATCAATACATGCTGAGCTAACTATCTACCATTCAGCACGACTCTCAGCTTCTGTCAGCTCCAAATTCTGTACAAGTCCATTATCCCGCTAACAAAATTATAAAACTATAAATGTACATAAATCATACATATAAAAAGAAAATATTAAATTATACAAGTAACCATACGTCGTCGTTTTTTGGAATCTGGTTGCACTGAGTCTTTTTTAACGGCCTTAGTTTCGACCATGCAACAAGCCAAGGGATAAGATTCTCTTATCCGGTACCAAACATACTGTTTACATGAAAAGTTTCAAGAATCCATATCTAAAAAACCGTTTATTAGAATATTAGCAAAAAAAATAATAATAAATTGCTAATTATGTACTTACCTTGAAAGCGTATAAAAACCCGTTTAGGGTGTAGGTCATTTTTTTAGGGTTTTTCCCGACGAGTCTGGACATGAGTAACTCGGCGAGTTAATAAGACAACTCGACGAGTTAAGTTGGATTTTCTAGACATTGCTGAAGGAACGAGGGAACTCAACGAGTCACATAGATGCACTCGACGAGTTGGGTCAACATGGATTGTTGACTCGAGTGTTGACTTCTATTGACTTTAGGGTTTGGTCAAGACAGGGATTATGGAGACCGTGAGAGGGTAAAATGGTCTTTTACCCATCCCAAGAGTTAGAGAGAGAAAATAGCTTGGTTTATTTATAGTTGTGATTTAAGTGTTAATTAGAGATGCTTATGTCATGTAGGCAGGGATTAGACCGTTCGAGGGGTATACGATTTCTTTGCTTACTTACGAGGTGAGTCTTCTCACTGTACTTACCATGAGTGGTAAGTTTGTGTGACCGGAGGGTCTTGTATGCTTATATTGAGTATTGCGATATCCTGCATTATGTCTTTATGATTTATGTTGTGTATTATTCTGAGTTTTATTGAGTTAGGACTGGAGGGTCCACCCTAGTTGTGGGACTGGAGGATTTCCACTGAGACACATTAATCGGAGGGTCTTATTCGAGATATAGCCATGAGAAGCTAATGAGATGTGTGTGGTATTTTGGGGAACTCACTAAGATTTGTGCTTACTGTGTTATGTGATATGTGTTTCAGGTACTTTTTAGGATCGCGGGAAGGCGTCGGCTTGATTGTACACACGAGATGGAGTTATGTTTTTGAGGATCCTGAATTTTTATTCAAACAATTATGGAGATGTGTTTTTTTTATCATTTGACACTTTGGATTTTTGTGAATTGTGTTTATGAGAATGATGTGATTTTTAAAATGAAAATTTTGTTTGAAAATTTACGGTGTTACAAGTTGGTATCAGAGCCTTGGTTTGAGGGATTCGAAATGTTTGGACTCAAACTGAGGATTTGAGAAAAATTTTCATAAGAAATTATTTTTCTA